CTTGGAGAGGGACATCATGCTTGGGAGGGGGGAGGGACAGCGCAGGAGGGGAAGGCCCTCTGTGAGATGGATTGATTTGGTGACTGGGGTAATCGGGATGGGTGTGTCAGAGGCAGTGCGGTTGGCGCAGGATAGAGCAGGGTCCAGGGCTGTTGTGCATAGGGTCGCTATGAGTCGCAAACGACTCGACGGCACATAACAATAACAACAACAACAACAATATGTCCTGATTTCTTTGTTCTTGTGTACCATCAAATCACATCTGAGATTGCCCCTTCTTCTCCAGCAGAGCATCTGGTGGATTCGAACCTCGTGCCTTCAGGATTGCAGCACTGATTCTTGCCACCAGAGCTCCCTGTGTCTTAATTCTTGACTATTTCTTCCATGATTGCTAATTGTGGATCCTAGTGAAATTAAATCATTGACAACTTCAGTCTTTTCTCTACTAATCATGATGTTGATACAGTTGTAAGGATTTGGTTTTTCTTTATGTTGAGCTGTTATCCATATTAAAGTCTGGAATCTTTGATCATCAGTAAATATTTCAAGTTGTCTTCACTTTCCGCTAGCAAGGGTGGTTTTTTTTGTTTAACATGTTTTGTTGATAAGTCTGCCAGTACTGATACCACATTCTTCTTCATAGTCATTGTAGTGGAAGTAAAATGACATCTTATTTTGGTTTTGACTTGCCTTTCTTTAAAGACCACTAACTTTAAGAATTTTGTTATATAGTAGTCTTTTATTATATATGTTTTGTTGTTGTTACTTTGTACTGTCACATCCGAACCAAGTCATAAGTGACCTTCCAGCTGGTCTTCAGAAGCAGTAAATTGAATAGGAGGAGATTGCCTATCTGCCTTCCACAAAACAGCTAGTAGATTTAAACTATCTGCCTTTGTTTGGGTTGGCAGTGCAACTTTTTATCATTAAGCCATCAGAGCTTTCTGTATAGCTTCCTATTTTGTAACAGAAGCTTTAAAAATAATTTCCAAAAGTTCAGTGCAGGTTGGTGCTGGAGGAAGCCCAGGGAGAAGAGGCCCAGGACACTCTGTGTCATGACCTAGGACGTGACCTTGGGATCAACCCTCAGGAGCCCCAGGGCATAAGGATGGAAAAAGCCCTGAGATCTTGGTAATTGCAAAATGTACTTCCACCCCAACTTCTGTATCTAACCCAGAGGATATAAACTGATGACCCAAGGGTCTCACCTGAGCCACAGGTTCCAACAAAGAAATCCCACTAGCAAGGTTGAATTTGCTGCCTATAGGGTGACAGGCACCTGGGACCAAGAATGTGCATCTGGCCATAGGAGAATGTGGCTCTTTAGGTCTGCACCCACACCATCACCCTGCTCCACCGACTCCTATAACCTGCCTGGTCTTACTAGAAATGGAACTTTGGATTCCTGGTATAAATCCATCCACAGTTAATGTTGAAAATAATATGCATAATATAGTCGTTGTTGTTAAAAAAAAAATTTCCATATTGAGCATGTGTATCTGTGTGTGTTGTGTGTGTGTGTGTGTACCATCAAATTGGATCCAGCTGGTACAGGAGATTGCCCCTCTTTCTCCAGCGGAGCTTCTGGTGGATTGGAACCACGTGCCTTCGGGATTGCAGCACAGCTCCTTGTCACTAGGCTACCAGAGCTCCCTAACATGTATATCTTTAATGTGTACCTTATTTCAAAGAAAATACATGCTAGCAAAAATTTAAAAAGCAAAAATATGTAATATAACTAGTTACTCCACTTTAGAAATAATACTGTTCTCAAGCATCACAATTTTATACCCTAATGAATCTTTTTCTCAGATCACTTTTAAAATTTTTTACATTTTTAATTTAAGCATTGTCATGGATTAATTTGTATCCTCCAAGAATATATCAGCATATAATGATGACTCCCCCCCATAATCTGATAAACCAATCAATTTTAATTAAGACTGGCAGCAACCTTCTGTATTAGGAACCTCCTTAATCCAAGGGCAGGCCAATATACATAGAGTTCTTCAGTAATGTTGAGAGGATAGAAAGATGTTGATACAGGACCTTTTTCTAGAGCTAACAGGAGAGAAAAATTTCTAGAGCCCAAAGCCTAAATTCAGACTTCTCGCCTCCTAGATTATGTGGGACTAGATACCTATTTAGTGAAGCCACTCCCTTGTGGTGTTTCTGTGCTAGCAGCTCTAGATACCTAAGGAACTATTTAGGTTTTCTTCATAATCTTTATAGTTAGGATTTTAAATAGTTAAATTATGCTTGAAATTACTTCAACAATGTTTTTTAGCTGACCTGTACACATTATATACTTACTTAAAATGAAATTTACGTTCTTTCTTAGGATGGAATCTATAGAAAAGATGGAATCTGATTTTAAAAACTGCCATATGTTTCTTGTAACCATTTTAAACAAAGCTGTTTGTAGAGGGTCTTTTCCACATTGTAAGTACATCATATAAAAATGCTTTTCTTGGCACACGTGACTGGTTTTATTTTCGTATTAATAGCACAAAGAATATTTTCACCCTTATTAAACCTGAAATATCTGTTAACCGTTGTGCTGTCCTTGGAGTTTTTTTTTTCTTTTTTTTAAAGAATTATATTAGAGTGATAGTCAAATGTAAAGCACTAAAGCCAATAGAAGATTGCTTTCTAGCACAAACTGTTAGACCACTTAATTTCTAAGGTTTTTATTAAATAAATCAAATAGCAGAACAGATTTCTTTAACATTTTACTAACATGCACAACCTTTATAAGGTTTCATCTTTCAAAAGATGACATTTTTTTTTCCAGCATTTGTAACTCTTGAGGCTTGCACCTTATTGTAAGGAAATGTAAATTTACCAGTCCAGAGCACACTGTAGAAAGTAGAGAGAATTATGGCATGAGTCACAGGAGGAAGAGCAGGCTGTTTCATCAAGCTGTAGAAACAAAGAGTAAATAGTATCTTTTGCCTAAGTGGTTATTTAAAACTATGAGGTATTAATCTCCTTCCTATTTATGAATAATTCAAAATCATACATATTTTAAGCATAGTTGAACATATAATGATTCTTATTGTGTTAAATATGTTGTCATCTTTGTTACTCGTTGTAAATAATCCATATTTAATTAAGCATAGGAAAGATCTTTAAATACTTTGAATTTTTTTATATTAAAGCCTTCTTCAAACCTTTTCAAATATTTAAATTTGTTTTTAATCTTATTTTTCTTTTCTCTACAGTGGAATCTCTAGCACTGTCACTCATGGCTGGTATGGAACAAAGTTAAATATGTTGAGATAAATGTATATAGGCTACATACTCTCTAGTGAGTAGGGACTTCTACTGCCAACCTAAAGGAGAGTGGTTCAAATCCACCATCTGCTCCATATGGACACTCTCCTTCTGTGTTATTTACAGCCTTTAAAAATGCAATGAAGACTAAGCTATGAATCAGTTCTAAACCAACAGCAATGAGAGAAAAAGAGACACATATATTCTACTGTGTGTTAAAAATGTGTAGTATGGTGTCTTTGAATGTGGATTATATCTTCAAATTAATTATGACTAATAAATTCCATTAAAGCACTTGAAATTAGTTTATTCTTCATTTGCTATTGTACATTCATGGAGTTGTTTGACATTCAATTGGTTTTTTAATGTAGAGATGTGCAAGCTGGTTTTTAGAAGAGGCTGTGGCACTAGGGACATCATAGCCAATGTTAGATGGATCTTGGCCAAAAGCAGAGAGTACCAGAGGAATGTCTATCTGAGTTGCATTGACTATGCAAAAGCATTTGACTGTGTGGATCACAACAAATTGTGGCTAATCTTGAGGAGAATGGGAATTGCAGAACACTTAATTGTGCTCATGCAAAATCTATACTTTGATCAGGAAGCAGTACTCAGAACAGAGCAAGGAAATGCATGGTTCAGAATCAGTAGAGAAGTGCGTCAGGGATACCTTTTCAGTCTATATGCAGAACAGATCATTCAGGAGGCTGGGCTTAATGAGAAGGAATGTGGCATCATGATTGGAGGAAGATTCATCAACAACCTGCTTTATGCAGTTGGCATAACCTTGCTTGCTGAAACCGAGGAGGGCATCAGTTGCAGAAGCATAAATTGCAGAAGGTTAAGGACTGCACTCTTCAATATGGATTGAAGCTCAACATCAAGAAAACAGATTCTCGCCACTGGTCCAATTGGCAAAACCATGATAGATGGAGAAGAGATTGAGGTTGTTAATTTCTGCTTGCTAGGCTCCACAATCAATACTCTTGGTGCCAACAATCAGGAAATCAAAAGACTAATTGCAGTCTGCTGTCACCAACCTCTTTAAGAGTACTAAAGAGCAATGATATCAGTCTGGAGACTGAGATGTGCCTGATCTAGCCCATGATAGTCTCAATTACTTGCTATGCATCAGAGTGGTAGACAGTGACTAAGGATGATAGAAGGAGAATTGATGCCTTTGAGTTGTGCTGCCAGAGAATAGTGTTGAACATACAGTGGTCTGCCAAGAGAACAAACAGATCAATCCTGGAGAGGGTGAAACTAAGTTGCTCCCTAGAGATGAGGATTTTGAAGCTCCATCTCACATACTTTGAGCATGTGTCCACGAGGGGCCAGTCTTTGGAGAAGAACATCATGCTCAGAAGGGGCGGGAAGGAAGACCCAGGATGAGATGGATTGACTCAGTGACTAGAGAAGTGGGATTGGGTCTGTCAATGAGATTGGCTCAAGATAAGGCAGGGTTCAGAGTTGTACGTAGGTTCTCTATGAGTCACAGGCTACACGATGGCACATAACAACGTTATGTATAAGCCTACGTATAGGGAGGTGGCTTTGTGCTAAGGAGTTGCACTGCCAACCCAAAGGCCCAAAGTTCAGATCCACCAGCTTCTCTGCAAAAGAAGGATGGGATTTTCCTCCTGTGCAATTTACTGCCTCTGAAAACCCACTGGAGGGTCAACTATGGATAAGTTCCAGCTCAACAATAATATACATAAGGAGCCCTGGTGGCATAGGGTGTCAGACTGCTAACCTTGGAGTCAGTGGTTCAAATCTACCAGGTGTTCCATGGGAACAAGAAGGGCAGTCTCCTATAAACTTGACTACAGCAGTGAGAACCCAGTGAAGAGCTAGCTGTGACTCAGAATTAACTCAACAGCAGTGACTTAAGTTGGAGGCCTAAGAAAACTGTACATATTATCCTAAAGATTAATTATATTTGGCTGTCAGAAGAAAACAGTTCATGTATACATACACATATACCATTATTTGGCATTTCTAAGCAATATTTATGAACTAACAAGCTGTTCTTTAAATAAAAATGTTTATCATTCTGTTGCTCCATTTTTGTTATAAACTTCTTAGAATTTCTCGAATACTAATTATTTGGTATGGTATTTGTAACTGACTTCACTCAATACTAAATATATTTTTATTGATGTAATTATAAATGGAATTGTTTTCTTAATTTTATTTTTTAATTACCAGAGTAGAAACACAGCTGATTTTTTTAACATTGTATCTTCTAATGGTTGAGCTTATTCATTAGCAAAATTACATGTATATGTTCATTAGGATTTTCTGTACATAAAATTATACCATCTGCACATAAAGATGGATTTACTTCTTTGCTTCTAGTCAAGTAATTTATTTCATTATCTTGCCTAATTGCGTTGGCCAGAACCTCCAGTGTATGGTGAATACAGCTAACAAGAGTGGATATCCTGTCTTATTTATCACTTTGAGCTTTTAACATTTCACAGTTACTCCAGTTTCTGTGTCAGTCCATCTCATCTGGGATCTTCCTCTCCTGCATTGTCCCTCCACCCTTCCAAGCATGATCAACTTCTCCAAGGACTGGTCTCTCCTGACCACATGCCCAAAGTATATGAGATGGAGCTTCAAAATCCTTGCTTCCAAGGAGAAACTTACTCTCTTGGCAGTGTGTGGTATATTCAGTATTCTTCTCTTGCACCACAATTCAAAGGCATTGATCTGTCCTCCTTAGTCATTGTCTCGCACTCTGATACATAGCAAGTATTTGCAAATACCATAGCCTGTATTAGTCTCTAGACTGATATTATTGCTCTTAAGCACTTTGGAGAGGTCCCTGACAGCAGGTTTCCCCAATGCAGTTTATCTTGATTTCCTGACTACTGGTGCCAGAAATGTCGATTTGTGGAGCCAAGCAAGCTGAAATTGTTAACAACCTCAATCTCTTCTCCATTGGTCATGTTGCTGTCAGATGGCCCAATGTTGGTCTTCATGGTAAGCTTCAATGCATATTGAAGACCACAGTCGACCTTCTGAGCCAACACTTCAGTTCCTCAATTTCAGCAAGAAAGGTTGTGTCATCTGCATAATGCAGGTTGTTGATGAGTCTTTTTCTCCAATCCTGATTCTTCCTCATAAAGCCCAGCCTGAATTCTGCATATAGACTGAAAAGGTATGGAGATAGGATGCATCTCTGATGCACTCCTTTCCTGATCCAGTGTTTCTTTGTTATGAGGACTGCTCCCTGATCCAAGTAAAGATTTCACATGAGCACAACTGACTGTTCTGGAATTCCCATTCTTCTCAAGGTTAGCCACAATTTGTTGTGATCACACAGCCAAATCACTTTGCATAGTCAATGAAACACAGACATGCCTCTGTACCACCACATAATAATAAATAATCACCTAATGATAAATTCTCAATAAACATTCCTGGATTCTTGGAGCGCATCAGATCAAGTGGTTCAACAAAGTTCACAAACACTGATTTTGCATCCTACTTTGGTGAGAAGCAGCTGAGGTCTTAAAAGTAGATGAGGTGCAATTACTGGTCTCCCCTGTCTGGAACAAAAAAAGGCAAAGATATAGTGAAATAATAGTCCAATAGACTGATGAATCATTCTAACACAGCCTTTAGACGTGATGGTGCCTAACCACTGCCCACTCTAAAATAGAGATTACAGTAGACAATCCTGGATAGAGTTGCAAAAAGTGTGGAACAAAAAAATCTTCCGCATAAAGATAGCCAGGCTTACTTGTCTGCTGTAGACTGGTGGAACCCTAAGGATATTATAGCCTTTGGTCACCCTGAGAGCCAAGAACAAAGCTTACTCCCATGATTCAAAATTAAGCCAAAAAAACAACCCAAGTGCCCATCAAACGAATGGATAGAGAAGCCATGGTATAATTTACACAATGGAATACTATGCTGCACTGAAAAACAAGGAACTCATGCAATGTTATTAAAAATGGATGACCCTGGAGGACATTATGCTGAGTGAAATATCTCAGTCACAAAAGGACAAATACTGCATGGTGCCACTATTGTAGAATGGGACTGACATCAGGGTTGGGGTAAGACTGAGGAAAAACTGGATAAATTATATATACTTATGTATTATGCATTGAAACAGATGAGAGAGAGAGCAATTTAAAAGCAATATATGATAGGGTATTATGGTTCTCAGAGTCAGCCACAGCTGCTTGTGATCCACACAGTGAGGCAGTCATCAGAACAGAGCAAGGAGACACTGTTGTTGTTTGATGCTGTCGAGTCATAGACGACTCATAGCGACCCTATGAACGAACAGCCTGAGCACTGTTCGTACATAGTTTGTGGAGGCAAGCCATTTCGGAAGTGGATGCCACTCCTTCCAGAAGGAACCACTGCATGGTTCAAAATCAAGAGGGGGGTTTGTCAAGGATGTATTCTGTCTCCATACCTTTTCATTCTGTATGCAGAACAGATCATCCCAGATGCTGGGCTGTATGAGGAGGAATGTGGCATGATTTGTGGAAGAATCATCAACAACCTGTGTTATGCAGATGACACAATCCTCCTTGCTGAAACTGAGGAGGACCTGAAGTGCTTGCTGCAGAAGGTCAAGGACTGCAGCCTTCTATATGGATTGAAGCTCAACATCAAGAAAACAAAGATTCTCACCACTGGGCCAATTGGCAGCATCAGTATGGATGGTGAAGAGATTGAGATA